GCTAATTTGACCCTGAAGCTTTTTTGCACTATGTTGGTTTTAGACTGTAGGTCAGATGGAGCTAGCTGATGACTATAGCCAAACTACATCTGCGTTCTCCAGTATTAGCAAGTATCAGCTAATATCATAAAGCAATTTATCTCTCTATTCCCTATAATTTTACATTTAATTCTCCTTGGGTTGATATCAATTATTCTATCCTATTTAAAGCTAAATGTTGAAGCTGTTACTGGCCATAATCCTAAATGTCCTCTGCTTTACCGCCTTCTCTCTCATGCTGCTGAGGCCACTCTCTGTCAACTCGTTTATCATTTTCATGGTACAGACAGGTTTTCATAAACAAAACAGCCTCTTAATGTAAACCAAAAAGGATATTCAGTGCAGAAGACAAGAAACAGAGGGAGTAGAAGTGCTGCAACAGAGAGAGCGTAAACCCTTTATACTACAAAAGTACCTGCTCTAGAGCGTGTTGCTTTCCTTCTTAGATGGGTTGCCATTTTTTCTTGCGACATCTTTCGCTTAAATCAGATTAAGAAGTCATGGTGGTGAATGAAGAGTACTTCTTTAGTTAGAATTTGTGAATTAATTAAGCCCATTAAAGCCCAGAGACACTTATGCACAACACACTGAGAGCTAATATAGTTAATGGATGAATAAAAGGGACACACACACACCCAAAACATGCATTCACTATATAATGTGTCACGTCTTGTGGAGGTCATAAACATGGTTTTCTCTTTCCCCCTTCCCTTTAGTCAATGCGCAAGTATCAGGAGCTGTGGTTCAACATTTAATGCATCCAATTACTTAGGCCCCCCATTCCTCTAGCTGCTGCATTACGTCAGGCTTGGCAGGCTATATATTTTTAGCGGTTCGACTCCAGTGGCCTTCTCTCACACTGTGTGGATTGAGTTACTGTGTTATTGGTGAAGGTGACCAATAGAGACCTGCCCAAGCTGCTTTTGTCCAATCCAAACACATCAAACCACTACATAACGGCACTAGTAAGGATAAGGGAGAAGGCAGTGCTCATTGAGGGTTCAGCAGCAGGCAGTAATAAAGAAACAGAGAAGCAGTCTCTATTGGGAGTTTGATGTCTAAGATTGGCCAAGTCGATGCATTCAGGAATGCATGATGACTCTTAAGTGCATTTCTGTAGGATGTGTGTGGCGCAAACCTTGATGCCAAATGGTTGGCTGATTCCAGACACCAGAAATTACACGGTTGTCTGAGGGGGAAAAACCGAGCAGACTTGTGGAAATACATGGAGGATAATTTTCATTTTCTTTCTCTCCATACTTCCTAACTAGTTTTGTATTTTGACGCATCCAACAAACTTTTTGGAAGTTATGTTGATGATACCAATGAAGTTGTGTTCTGCACAGCTGAGGTGTCAGAATGAAGTGGTGACAGTCTGACCCCATGCTGATAGAGCAACTAGCCCTGGGAGTCAGAAAGTGAGGAATGTTTTCACTCTGCTTCACAGTATTTGTCTGTTGGACTAAACCTTATAAAACCCAGCAGCTTAACAAACAGCTAAGAAACCAACACCCCCTGCCTTCAAGGGACTTCTCTAAGCTTGAAGATGCTCATTGTTCCCTCCTCTACTCATGCTCCCCATTTTAACCATAATCACTTCCTCTGCTCATTTTGCCTTGCCCACAACAAAGCAGTTTTCCTTCCTTGTTCTAAACAGACTTTCTGCTGTTTCTCTCAGACACCCACTAATCCCATTGATTCAACTCTCAGACGAGATCAGGAGGCGGGTTGGTAATGCATATATTTGCCACCATGTAAAGTAAAGGTCAGGGAAAACAACAGCAGCATTTAGAAATGACAAGCCCACTTAAAGTTTCAGATGTCATTGCAACAAGCTGTTTAACTGACGGGTGGATGGGGATCAGGAGCAAGTAATGTCCGACTTTGTGTTTATATGTCTGGGTTTGTTTTATATAATTATAAAGGAGAAGTGTTTAAGGTGTTTCTGCGTTGTTGTAGCTTATGCTGGTGAGGTTTTTGGAAGTGAGCTATAACAAAGCCACACCTGACATTGTTGGGCTGGACAGAGTAATTGACAAAAAATGGAGAACTATGAATTTAATCCATCACTCACACGTCCGGCTCACACTGACTACGATGTGGCTATGGTTCTGGTGTTCAGCGAAAAGCTGCTCACACTCAGCTTCACCAGCCAAGAATCCTGTTGCAGAATCACCACTGAAGAGAAATGTTAACATTGGTTCATGCCCTTTCCTGGAGTTCTAGGGCTAAACTTGTTTTCCATTTGCATTATGATCCTTTTTCAACCTCCAATAGCCACTCTGTTTTTTTCAAGTTTCTTCTTCGCCGTTTTGTTTACACAAGCCAAGTCAGCGGCCGGCAAAAATCAAGATCTTGCAGAATTTTCTACAATGCTGCTCAGCCTCAAACCCACAGCTACGCCGTACTGTGTTTGCCCAGTATTGGGCTGTACCCAGGGCTACTGGCCTTTTGGGGATATAGAGTGGCAGTCTATGGGGTTTGAACCTGGTACTTTCTGCTCTTATTACTAGGTCATCAAAGTCCTGAGTGGGGCATTACTGTTCGTATATTTGTGATCTTATTACAGCTTAAAAATCATTTTGAGTATCCTTTAATGTAGTTTTAGCATGCTGTTTTTCTAATTTTGGAACACTGCCTGCAACCACATAAAAAAAAAAAAAACTATCATTACAGACCCTGCTATGGTGGCTAAATATGTCTAAAAGGGTGTTTTTAATTTGTATTCATACCAGAATTCAACGGCCCTGAAGTCTGTTTGGGAACAGACTAAGGCAAAACGAACACGAAACGCTGATATTTTCCAAAACGTTTGCCGTAAGGACGGAGACGTAAAATAAATGTGAGCGTCCACACGAATGCATGAAAACGCTGCAAAATGTATGCAAGGCCTGTAAGTGGCGCTGTGGTGCCAAAGCAAAAATAAGCGACGAAATGTTGGGCATGGCACTAATATTTATACATGGTTGCCCTGCGGGTCCATTTTCGTGGTTAAGTCAAATTCAGGTGCTGAACTATGTCGTCGATATAGCTCTGTTCTTCCTGGAGATATTCCAGAAGAAGAAGATTCTGTTGTAAGCCCGACAGCAGGGTGAGTAGCATTAGCAGCAACGGCGCCATTGTTGTTGTGATGTGTCGCGCATGCGTGTTTAGAGGCGACGCTATGACGCATGTGTGTAAAAAAAAAATATGCGGTTAGAGCGTAAAGATGGAAACGCGAAAACGGCATTTCGAAATCTTCCCACTCTGAAGGCTGAATAAAAAAAAGATAGTTTACAGACCCCCGAAACGCCGGCTTCGTGTGGATGAGAGGCTGTTTTGGTGAAAAATTTGTGCGTTTAGGCCAGGGTTCGTCTTCGTGTGGACGGGGCCTAAAAATACCCTCAAAAAGATGATTCCAGCCAAGTTTGTTCCTGATGGGGATTACTTTGTTTTTACCTGTACCAAAGGTCCAGACCAAGGAGGAAACCTTTAAATGCCTCACATTACATGATGGCTTTTTGTCTTAACAACGTCTGAAGACCATCTTTGGCATAGCTGTTAAAAATATATGTTTAAAGTATTTAAAGAAATTACTCATATGGCAAACATTTATTTAGGTTGAAAAAAATTGTTTCAACAAATCCATACTGTCACCATTAGTTCTCTATTAGTACTGTACAGCTCTGAGGAATGAGATGGCCAGAGAAAAATGTCTTTAGCATATCTATAAAATGATTTCTGTTTATCTAGACGTTAGTTTGCATCTATCCTGTTAAAAGACTTAAACTTATTCTTAGATTACTGTTTGAGGACACCTATCATTTAAGAGCTGCTGGTAGTTCTAAGTTAGTGGTGATATAGAGTATAAGGTTCCCAGGGCTTTTAGAGGAGCAACAGCAGGACACATTCTCCACCGCACCAATGGACAAGATATAATCCTTTGTTTCCAGCTAGAAACATCCATAGTGTTTGTTGCAAAAGCTCTGATCTAAGTCTCATCTGATCAAACGAGTGATTACGATTTCATAAAGCACATTTCCATTTGTTATAGTATAAAAGAAAACTTTCTGTTGTCATTTCTAAATAACTAGTTGATATTTAGGCTCAGGGCTCAGGGCAATTACCTCTGTGCTGTTGTTTTCCAACAGTGAGCTTTTGAGTTTAAGGCCTGTGCTCATCCAGTTTAGTTGGAGGAATATATGGAGCTCTCTTCATATGTATACGATAAGAAGGTAAAAATGTCATTAAAGTCCTGACCTTTCAAATTTAACTATTAATTCAAAAGTTTAAGTGTAGGAGTATGTTTGTTATTAATTTTTATTCAAAAAGTAGGAGCTATATTTGTGAATATTTCCAAAAAAAGGTGAAATTTGTATTTATTTAATAAAAATGGTAGATTACTTTTTATTTATACTTTGCTTTGTAATGACAGTGGAATTCCAGCAGAACCTCAGCTTATGGCCGCACTGCTTAAATAGAAACCAGGTGAGCCTGAAAACAGATGCTGCGCGTTCCCTTCAAATCCCTGCGGCTTTCACCTCCACCTTGAAGTCAGACACGTAGACTAAGAGAGCGCAGGCCTGTTGCCTTTTTGCTGAGCTCCTACTGAGCAAAAGCCTAGAAGCTACGTGGGGTTCGGGTGCCTTGCGTTTGTTTTAAAAGGGATGACCTTGTGACTTTGGAATAAAAGGGGTGAGAACCTGATATTCCCACAGTGTCACTCAAACAGCAATGGCTTTCACACGGTCCGTTCCCTCTTCACACCGTGACTTTGCCGCCCCCTTTACAAGCTATTTGAGCAACCCCCTGGCAATGTTCTTTCTAAAAAGGATCTTTTTACTGGAAGGAACATATTTTAGGTACCGGTAACTAAGGAGCAAATGTTCACATTTTCTCCTCTTTTTATCCTTTATTTTAGTTGTGATTAGCATTTTTTGTGCTGTGAATTTTCTAAATCTTTTCCCCTCTTTGCTTCCTAGATGTGAAGAAGGACTGGTCGGACCACGCCTTGTGGTGGGAAAAGAAGAAGACATGGCTGCTAAAAACCCACTGGACGTTGGACAAGTACGGCATCCAGGCCGACGCCAGGTTGCTCTTCACACCACAGCACAAACTGCTGCGCCTCCAGCTGCCCAACATGAAGCACATGAAGGTCAAGGTGAACTTCTCAGACCGGGTCTTCAAGGCGGTGTCGGACATCTGCAAGACTTTCAGTGAGTGGAGCAGTTTTAAGACTTTAGATTGTTGGGATATGGGGATATACTAAAAGCACACCCTTCTGAACTCAGTACTTCCTTTGGTGGTTTTTTCGGAAATATTCTACATTTAGCTTTGAAAATCACGCCCTTCCTCTTGCTCTGTTTTTTATTTAATCATTCCTTATGTTTATCAAACACTCTCTCAGCTCTGCACGCCACTCTGTGATGTCATGTCCTTGAACCCAGGGCTGCATCTACCTCAGATTAATGTTTACTATACAAGGATTATCAATCTGTGTTTTGCACCAATCTCATTCATGTTTTCTGGCTTTAGATTCTGTTCAGATAGTGCTTTGATCTATTTATACTAATCTTCTCAAACATTTTGACAGCTTGTTGATTTACAAACCGAAATCTAGAGTTTTTATGATGTTTAAATTAAAGGGGATTTTAGAAACCTGGTGTTTTAGTCACAGGCTTTAAATACGTTTTTTAGCTTCAAGGGCCTATTGTTTTTAGCTGACTTGTTTCGTGTCAGGATGTTGTTTGCTGACTCAAAATGATTCTTTTAGCATCACTTTTTTATTGCTCATTAGTAAGAGACAATTTTGTGCTTTAGTTTTTATGATGGCTGGCTAGGCTTAATTTACAGCAGCTGATCTGGAGGGTCTTTTTTTTTAAAGAGGGAACTCCTAGCTTGACAGTTTCCTGAAATAATATGTGCTGAGCTGCGAAGCATTGAACATCAGGAGGAACAGGAAGAGACGAGGTCTGCACAACCTGTCTTTGTCCCAGAAAGCAGAGAGGGAGGGACCCGGTTGTTTAGAGAGATCAGCGATGTGGTTTTCTAGTGAACAGGTTTATCAGTTGTTACAGCACTAACGCTGATTTGTTTCCTTGATTTATTTGTTTTTCATTTTAAGAAATCTGCTCCGATGTAAGAAGCTTTCATCTTTTCCAAACTCCTGTTTTTAGCCGTCAACATATGTTTCTCATATCCTATAAAGCTTAGGTAAAGTCTGTGAAAGAAATCAGGCGTTTTATCTTTGTTATGCAATGATTTAGTAATAGATCTATTTTAATTTAGAAGCAGAGTGTAAAACAACAAATCAAGTTTGTTTAAAAACAAGAATGTCCGTAAGAACATTTTATTTGGCCAATTTTGATACAGACATGGCCCATCTGGGCTGACTGCTTGAAAAAAAATGTAGGAAAAGGTTGATACACTGTAATACGCTGAGACGAAAATAACTGGAAACCACCCCTATGTTTGACCTCTAGTGCTATTTGGCAGCTCTCACATCCTGCTCCTCACTGCTAAGTTGGCGATTAAAGGATGCTTTAAGCTCTAAGATGTTTTCTGTTTTTGTATTAGTCAACAGTAATATAGAATCCCATGAATTCGGCTTTGCCTTCATGGGAATTGCACCAAAAAAAGTATTGCTCACCAATTTCCTGCTTAGCTGTTTCTAAAAAACGAAAGCCTTTTGTGCTAATGATTATTTCCAAACATTTTCAGTTTCGTTTCAAACCGCTGAAGTCAGCAGCTTGTTTGCCTTCAACCACTCTCTGGATTTATTTTTATCCATCGACTTTCCAGCATCTCACCAGCCCTTGGCTGTAGACTCTGTGGTATAGAAATGAAGCTCCTTCAGCTGAGCTCTACTTAAAGGAAGCGAGGGTCGGGTTTCTTCTCTTAATTTTGTCCTTGTAGTCATTCATTACAGTAAGCAGAGACGCAGCAATATTTTTATGACCCTTTTACAGTAGATTACATTGAGTTGTCAACCAGAAAAAGCAGCCCTGCTCTGTAGACTGATCTCCTGCCTAAAGCTCAGGTATCGTTGTGTCTTGTTCATAGGTGATTTAAGGATGGATTAATCTGAATGGGTCTATACCAAACAGTACCTTTGATCATGAGATATCCATTATGATCTAAAGATTGAAAAACATGGGGATAAACCATGTGGATAAGCAGCTGATTATTTGCATTAAAAGGAGAGAGCTAACATGATATGAGATCTGATCACGATGCCTTCTGGATGGCTTATCCAATTCAGGAGCTTTTCTGTATCAGGATCAGGACTGTGTTGGGGGTGTTCCTATTATTTCAGGAGTTTTATGGCATCACAAGCTGTGGGCCGTTTAACCGAGCTCCAGTTTACTGGCCAGTGATGTAACATAAAACAACTGTGGTTAGACTTGACTCTGAATTTTGAATTAAAAGGGGTCCTTATTTAATATACTTTGTGTTTTCTGATGGATAAATAATTTTTCTTTTTGTTCGTACACTTTATTCAGAAGTGTACAAAATCAAGGAAACAAATGACATAATGTCGTATAACTTTCTTTTTTCTCCTCTCGGATATCCATGTAAGGCTTCCATCTGTTCCTATTGCAAATTTTGGGGTTTTAAAATTAGACTGTGACTATGTTTGTGATTCTTTGTGGTGGGTATTACTCACTGCATTAAATCATCTGTTCCAAAGAGCAGATCTTTTTGACTCCCACATAGCTTCGCTCCTCTGACCTTAGGCCTGGTTTCTGTCAGAAGATACTGTAGGGGTCTCATTGTTCCGGCTTCATTTCTGCTGTTAGAAGACTGCTAAGCCTTTGTAAGAAACCTAATCAGTTGTATCTCCTCATAAGACCCTCCCAAAGTGTCTCCTGAGTGGAGATAGCAGACTCCCTAACATTGGGGTCAGCCTTAAATTACCACAACTTTGTCAGGAAAATCCACTTGCATGTTTTCTGATTTTAAAAATATTAGTAGTGATTTATCCTCCAAAGCTAATTTAGCTATCCCAGCACTGCATTTTGTATGTCACTTTAAGTAAAAGAATATTGTAATTTTTACCAGTTCCTGCTAAAGTTTATGGTAATACTTGTTTTATAACATTAGGATTTAGAAAATGTGACACATAAACTACGTTATGTTTAATCATCTGATTAGATGATGGAGTTTCTATGTGCACCTTTTTAATTGAAATGACTTGAGTTGAGTTTGCATGGTCTTAAAGGGAGAATTCAATTGTATCATAAAAAAAGAAACTAAAACAAATAAGGAATAAATTTTAATTTAGAGAACCATTTCGCAACACAAAAGGCCCCCTGTCTTTTTACCGTGGTGGATCCGAACACGAGCTTTATGCATCTCGAATGTTTGCTTGGAAATGATTCAAAAGGTCCTTTTTCTGTGGTGGAGCAGATGATAAACTGTTGGAAAGTATGTCTGTCAGATTTATTACTGAGATTTATGAGGAATCACTAAAGCTCTGCATCCCTGTAGAATAAGATGCTTATAGGTTAAAAACATAAGATCTGATGTACTGTGGAAAAGAAAAAAAAACGTGAATAAAAAAAATATTATTTTAATATGCAACTCTATATATAGTTACTACCGACTAAAATGATCTTTGGATTTTGTGGAGACCTGATGCCACGAGCGCTCATTATGTATATTAGAAACACAGGAAACGCCACACATGGGAGAGCAGTTTCTGTAAGATTGCCTTCAAATCCGACCACAAGCATGTTTTTGATTTACAAGTCAATATCTTATTAGAATTTTTTTTTTCATTACACAATTTAGAAAGTTCCATCAGAGGAAGAGATTGTATGCTTTCACTAAATAATAAAGAGAAAAACACACAAGCAATGTTAATGCAATACATTCAACCTTTCTGTTATCTGCACTGAATTCGCTTTAAAGGAATAGTACACCCAAAACATGATTAGCCTTCATTTTCTACTCACCCCCATGCTGAACAACACTCTGGAGTACTTTTTTGATATCTCAAATGCATCTGGAGATCTGGGAGGCTTCTTGCTGTCTGCTGACATTCAAATAATGGAGGTCTATGGTGCCCGAGACAGAAAGGTCCATAAAAGTCCACAAAAAACGTGTCAATATTCCTCCATACTGCTCGTCCAATGTATTCCAAGTGTCCTGAGTGGGTAGCGTCCATAATTTACTCGAAACGAAGTCATTTAGAATGTTTTTAGAGCATAAACAGTAGTGTATAGGATTTCCTAAAAGCGCGTTCACGAGTCTACGGAAACCGCGGCAGACCAAACCAGAATAAAGTGCGCATTCAGTGTCTGCTCTGCCGATAATGCAAGCGTAGAGGAAGAAATGTGCTGTTTACCTGTGCAAAGAAAGAAACAACGGAAGAAAAATGTCTGAGGACTTCAGTGTTGAGGAAGAGCATGAGTTCTTTGCCGAGCTGAATGCGCACTTTTGTCTGATTTGGTATGATGTAAAGCCCTGAATGGAATGGAAAATGAGAGCAGTTGAAAATGTCCAAAAAATCAAACGGCCTTCAAGTCTATCTGCCATTTTGGAGTGTCCATAATGAACCAACATGCCACAATACAAATATTTTTTAATATTCTTATAGCTTTCATGCTTTTTCTAACATATGTGAAACACCAACCTGACAACGAAAATAGCTAAATTTACCCACAGTAACAGCTCCAAACTAATAGCACTTTGGTGTGTTCATTGATGATAACTCCTCCAATATAACATTCAAGAAATTGTGGTTTAAAACAGGAAAAAATAAAAATCTTTTTTTTTTTTTTTTTTTTTGGCTCAACAGATGAAATGCACTTTTAACCTTGTGATCATCTCTCCCTGCTCATATTGTTCACTCCATGGCAACTAATAAATAGCGTTGAAAATACAGACTGACTGTCCCCAATTAATTCTCAGAAATAATCCTGCTAAGATTTTATTCCTCTCTCTCAAATATACTGATCGGCTCTAGCCTTGACCTATGGGCTTCCAATTATTATTTTTTTTTTGTTTAATAAAATGTTGATATATTTTAAAGTGCTCATCTTTATAAAAAATAAAAACTGATCCCGGCCCTAATTCTTTTATTACCTGAACACAGCAAACATTGACATCAGCTCAGTTAAAACAAAGTGAATCAATTCACACATCCTATAATGTCACTGTACGGCTTCCTGTCGATCTGCATTCACCTGTTGTCTGAAGGCTGCACTCAACGTTTCTCCTCTGACTTTAACTTTAATCTGCAATATCAGCTGTTTCTTTAAGGACATCATGCTTTCTAGAATTAAAGGGGGACTTTTGGTCATGCCATCATGGGTATTCATTTTGTAACCAATGTGTCAGGGCTCTTTCTGCATAAAAAGTCAGTCAGTAACAACCACTGTAAGCACACTGCAGCTTTAATCAAACCAGAAATGTGTTTACCATTATTGAATAAAATGACATCTTGATATATATTTATATTGAATTATTCTTCAGCCCTATGTTCAACCACCATGTTGCCCTTTGGAAATCGTTCATTTCTAGTACTTGTCTCTATTCAAAAGTAACTCCCTACTTTAATAAATTTGTATGAATTTGAATTTGTAAGTTTTGAATTTGTATGTTTTGAGCTGATTTATATAAAACACGTTTTATTTGATCATGACTGGTGGATATAGGATTCTGTTTTTGACTCTGCTTGCCAAACAAGTGTGTAAAATAATCCATGTTAAACCAAGTCAACGTTTTAGGTTTCATCAGATATGTAATCTCTAACCTGGTAGCTTGCGTGAGTCAGAAAATGTTCCAGCTTGTGCGCTGGGACTAAATGATTAAAATGACGGTGTAGTAAAATGCCACACGCCTCTGCTATGCCTCAGCTAGACATACGTCCTGTCCAAGTATTCGGTGTGTGTTTGTGTGTTGGCCCTCCTTGCATAGTTCAATCGGGTTAAAGCTCAGCAGCAGGCTGGGAGCTCGCATGGCTGTATAAGGGCAAAGGGACTGTGCTCCAGTGCTGCAACAGAACGGGAATGAGGGAGGAGGGAGATGACGAGAGAGGACAAACTCCCATCTGGTAGTTCTTAAAACTCATGGAATGCTTTTGCTTTAGTTACACAAGCCAAACAGCTTCTCCCCGAGCCTCCTATCTGCGCTCTCCCCAACACCTCCAGCAACCTCCTCAATCGGCCCGCCACAGTTAAATCTGTCATCGGTAGAGATTTCAGAATGATTTGATTTAACGTCTGTGGGAAGGAGAAAATTACCAGCTGTTTGTGAGGAGAAATTAAAATAAATAAAAGTGTCTTTCAAATATTGGCGTTCTCTTTGATTTATAAGGAATGTGTGAGGAAAAACCAAACGCAGCAGAGTCCAGATGTGCTGCTTCTGCATTATGTTTTAATTCTGACACTTTCTGGATCCTCCTTCATCAGAACCGTCCTATCGAGGTTACTGCTGAAGGATGGCCCATCTGGCCCAAGAAGGGGGAAGCCAGGGACTAGGCCACTGCTTTGGTCTACATACTACGTTATGACGGCCTGTTGCACTTTTAGAGATGCTTTCAATTGAAAGGAATAAGGTTTCATAAAGGATGTCACTTCCTCAATCTACCAACAGCAACTGAATTCAGCTTTGATGTGTGTAAGGTGAGGAGGAGTGAGACTGTGGCTCCAATGGCTCAGTTGGAGATTACACTAAAGCGAGATATTCGGGGGCGCTGAGAGAAAGGATTTTCAATTTTCCACCCCATGTGTGTACAGCTGTTTGCAGTTCTCCCCTTCTACCTCCTCTTTTTCTGCCTTCTTTCCATCTTTGACACTTTATGTTGACTTTGCACCCCTGTTTTTCTGTCTTGTGTGGTTTCTTTTATTGTTTCAGGTCACTGGGAGAAACCAGTGGTTAATTTAATGCCTATAGGTGAGAAAGGACTAAAAACCTGCTTCCAGTAACTGGTCAATACAAACTGCAGTTAAATTTTATCAAATATTTCAAGCTTTAGTGTTGCACTAAAATACACAAAAGCTTTTCAGAGCAGAGGGAATCATCCAGCTCGGTTTGAATGCGTATGATAAAAATATTCCAGCATTCCTTCACCAGGTTTCCTCCACAAAACTTACATTTTAATGGCTAATCTTATTATTTGGTTGTTGAACTAATTATCTGTGTTGTTAATTGAATAATAAACTGGAGTATACAGACTCAAAAACATGCCATTTAGTAGAAGAATACCCTGCTCATCGCAGTAATTAAGCCAGAACTATAAAAATTATAAATTGTTTGGATTTCTGTGTAAAACCTTCTTTGTCTGTATATATACACACAGTCTAGAACTCCTCTGTTGGAACAGTTCTTGCTTCACCCTGTAGAATTCTTTAGGTTTCCGATCGGCAGATAATCATAAATTGGTCAACAGACTAATCAATTGGCCACAATAATCATGTGTACCTATTTAGATACATGAAAGGGACGATAAAGAGTTATAAAATATCTTTTAACTGTTTTTGCCTTTTACAATTCATCTTGTATGAGTATTAAATGTTCTTTTGTGTTTTTTGTAAATTTGAAAACACTTCTGATAAATTTTGATTTACTACAAGTATATAATAATTAATAATTGATAGCTCCAGCCCTTAATGTGATCTATTGGCTCCTTATTACAGACAAGATGTAAAAGTATCAGGTTAAACGATATGAAGGGGTGCAGAAGTGAAACCTAAACTGGACCATGATTGTTTATTTAGATTTTAAAGTAAAAAAGGAAATGGACAAATAAAAAATGTGTAAATTATAGTAATTGGTATGCATGTTTCTAAAAGAATAGCTTTCATGTGGACACAGTAGTTGATGGACTCTCTCAGTTGTCTGTTAAGATGCAGAGTTCAGGCTGGCCTGATTAGGCAGCCTGACTCACTAAACAGCAGATGGGATTAAATTGATTTTAAATTTTTAGTCTATGTTGTCATACTGTCAAAATCTCACAGCAGCCAGGTCAGGTTAATGTTGGCTTATCTTCCTGGGAGACAAGAGTTCTTGGGCTCTTTTGTGTTTATATGGCTCAAATAACCTATTCTTTCCATTCATACATCTCCACTCTCAGATATCCGCCACCCAGAGGAGCTGTCTCTACTGCGCAAACCTCGTGATCCCAAGAAGAAAAAGAAAAAGTTGGAGGAGGCAGAAGAGGACGACCTGGAGCTGGAGGGTCCCCTGTTGACTACTGGAACAGGTGAGCTGCAGATGATAAGATTTCTCTCTACTTTAAAGTAATCTTAGTTTTAAAAGTATTCACATTGGTGTCAAAAGTTATACCAACACTGTACAGAACCAGCAGGTGGAGCAGCAGGTTCTGCTGGTCCACATGGAGGATCTTCTATCCGTTTGGTTTGTGTTTGTTTACACCTGTGGTCGGGAAACCGCCAAGATAACTCCAGCCTGCTGTTTCTAGTGACCAAATGGGAATGTGTGAGCTGGAGGCCTGCATGGGATTGACAGCCATGGCTCCCAATTCTTCAGCAGGGAGGACTAAGAATGGTTTAGATTCCACACATAGCTGGTCACGCTGCCATTTTAAGCCCAAACCCGGGAAGACGAGTGCATTTATTATGGCCCTCCTCCTCCTCGGCACTGAGTGATGGAGAGTTGCAACCAAATGAGAGAAAGGAGGGCCAGAACAAAACCAACTGGGCCGCTTTCTCTGATTTATGAGACAGACTAAATGGGACTCTTATATGATGATTCCACTTTGCTTGTGCTTCTTTTGTTCTGTTTGCCTTTTATTCGTGTAGAGAAAAAAACTTTAATGCATTTCAAATTAAAAATAAAAAAGCACCCACTTCAAAAAAACTAAAGAGGATCACACCCAGAATTTCACCATTACATAACATGGGTGTGTAACTTTCAACACACATTTATTTCCCAGTGCGTAACTGTGATCACACTATGAAGCAAACAGTAATTTTAACAAACACGTGCAAAAAACAAAAAGCACCTCCCTGTCATTTTTTTTCCTCATTTGTTCCAGTGCATGTGTGCATCCTTTTAGATTGCAAGCAGTATTATAAGGGGCAATCTGTGCTCTAATGCTAGGATGTTCTTATCTTAGTGGAGTAGAGTTTGGCCTATTAGCTCGGGACTCCTGATAAAAATCGAAGGGCTTTGCAGAAAGGCAGAGATGCGATCAGGATGCTGCCGCTTCCTTTCCACACCCCTCTATCAGTGTGACTCGTCACATGCATCGGGGCTGTTCATTAGTCACTAAACACAAAATGGTTTGTTTTTTTGTTTTTTTTTCAAAGCAAAAGTTTAATTGAAATGAGAGTTGGCATGCTAGACTGAATTTGTCAACAGATTTCTAAAATGAAATGTAAATGGAGTCATGTGGAGAAAATGTCAAAATTTGAATTCTTAATAGCAGAACCTCTTAACGGCATTAAAAACACTATAGTTACCATTTCAGAATATTGTTTTACTAATTGTTCCAACCGAGGTCTCAGATGTTTGATTTTTTTATTTTATTTTATTTTTTTTTATATAAATCTCTAACAGCTAGCATTGTGCCAAACGGGTACAGAGAAATTTAACCTCTCAAAACCCACCGGGTCGCCAGCAATAATGCGTTTACAACTAATAACTCAGAATGCATGAAAATTACACCGGTAAAATGTTTACCAATATAGACATGTTAGACATCGTTGGAAAGCTTAGATTCTCCAGAATTCCACCACCAAGTACATTTTATGGACACAGCGAACACCAAGGAACAATTAACAGATATTACAGCATGTCAAAATGTAAACATGACAAAGCAGCCATAACAAGCAAGCATGTCTTTATTACTGCTGTTCAAAAATACCATTATTACCAATATCATTTTTTAGAATAAAAAAACTACTTTGAGTCATGTTTGAACTGATGCAGCCTGGGCTGTGTTTTACTCACCCAATTTTCATGTATTTCATGTATATATTCAATGTACCGAACATGTAATTTGGGCTTACAGTTCCTAAGTTATTTGCTTTTCCATTTAGTTATGCAAAATAGGCGAGAATTTCCCAAAATGATTTGGATGTTAAGAGGGTAAACTGTAACTGGCTGATTTTCTGTTTGACCTGCAGTACGAACTAAACATATCCCGATCCGATATTAATGTCAGTCCGATATCGGCCAAAAAAATTATATTGGCCTGCATTTAAAATCTCTGATATTGTCTTTCTTATATAAACACTCTGCTTCTATTTAAAGCTACAGTGTGTAATAAATACAGGGATATACAGTCAGAAATGTAATATATTATACATAACTATGTTATTTATCATCATCTACGAGCTCAGCCTCTTAACCTTAATATTTGCGTTGCCTTAGAATTCTTTATTTATAACTACATAGGAGCGGGTCTCGCAGCCATGGAGGCAGACATCTTTGCGCTACGGCAGTGCAGAGCCAACAAACTAGCGATTGCGAGATCGGTTATTACGCTCGAAAGTAACTACGGCAAGTTGAGAGAAATGAACTGAGACGGTACTGAACACACAGACTAATGAAATACTATCTGTAAAATTATCTATGTAAACAAACCTCATCACTTGAGAAGGTAGGTGATGCGGACATTGTGGAAGACATTTTGTCCCGTAACGCTCGCCGTACTGTTGGGGGGGAGAAGCGGTGGGGGGGGGGGAGATGTTCATGTTGCTGCGGTCTGCAGTCTGACCGCTAGATGTCGCTGAAAATTACACACTGTAGCTTTAAAGCTTCTGTAACCTGTTGGTTAGTATAACATGGGTCAGTTGTTCTCATAGCAGTTGTTGTTGACTATTGTTCTCTGTTTTAATATTATCTCTTGATCAAGCTTTTTTTTTTTTTTTTTTTACATTCTGCAGTATAAAATAAGTAATAGAAGTATTTATGATTCGTGTTGATATCGTTTCGGAAAAGTAAAAGTTGTATTTGGACCCCTAGTATAAACACGTCCCACAGGAAGTCACTTCATCTTTTTGGATGAAGAGAATTGACCCAAGGCATCTACAGTCAATGGTGTAAAAGTTCCGTCGAGCTGCAATAGTTGGAGAAAGTCATTCTGAACATGGATATTAAAATTGGACCATAGATCTGATGGCTGTGTCACATGATTATTCTGACTAGTACCTTACTTGCCTCTATAGTTACTCTCGCTTGTTGAAAGTTGAAAGTGAGTAATTGCCATCCCATCTCCTTCACTAAGTAACAGGCTGAGTCATTGGCCCTGGCTCCGTCTGTGGAAATGCCACATAGTCTCATTTTATATATCTTCACCTTTTGTCATTTCTCCTGTTTTTCTGTTTTCCTCTTTCCTTTGACAGTTTGAGACAACCTGAATCTACTTTAATAATTTTGTTTACTATTCCACTCCTTTTCCTTCACCTTTTTTTTCTGTCTCTCTCTTTCCTACTCTTTCGTTTTCACCTCAGCCTCTGAGATAATTTACATCGGACCTGTTAAAGGTAAGCTTCCTGCTTCCTCTGTCCTGCTCCTTCTGCACTGCTTCCTTCTCCTTCTTCACTGTTGGGCCACTAAGTTCATACACTATCTGTATAGTCTGAGAGCTGGCGGCAGAGTCACATGACCAGTCTTCAAGAGAAAGTCACCTGACGTTGGTAGTCTCATGATAAATGCTTATGCATCCTATTAGGTCAAAGCTTGGTTTCCTTTTAAGCAGTTTAATGCTGCTACTTTTAAAAGGGTTTGAGCCTCAGAAAACATGTTAAGCATACATTATAATTATGTCTTCATGGCTCATATAACATAACAGCCCTGAACAGAAAATAAATCCACTAAACACTTGTGTGTATATATTGATTTGTTTGCTTGGAAGTCCTTCTCAGCTATGCATGAAACCCCAAGTGTGGGAAATTTAGGGAATTCTGTTTTGCAAGAGCTAAACTGTAAACAGGATGGAGGAAGTTCTGTTTCTCAATAAACCATCAGCTTTAGCTCTTTACATACTTGCACTAGATAGTTGACATTCCTCCTGAGACCCTATGGGAGATGGGAGTACTCTCCCTGCCCTGGTGAACTCGGCATTAAGGAGGAAGTCCTTGGAGAAACCATTAGAAAACACCCTCCCCCACATGGAGTGGGTGGTCAAAGCCTACACCCCTTTCTCATGACCCCGGCTTACCAACACAAACATACAGTCACAAACTCTAACCAAGCCCACTTCCTTGTTTCAGAGGAGATTTAGTGGTTTAGTCAGTTACTTCTTGACCCAGGGCTTGAGGTGGAAGAGAGGGAACGAAGGGGGCAAGCTGACCAAAAATACTCCCAAAAGGCAAGCTAACAGGAAATGCAAACAGCTTTTCCCCAGAGACTCATGCCTGGTCTCAAATTCCAAAATTAAAAACATGAAAGAAAAAAACTTTACACAGAAATAAATGTTAGGACCATTTAGAAACATTCTGTTAGTCTGTCTTTATCTCTTAATGTTGATGTAGCACCTAAATTCTCACCCTTGCCTGTGCCATAGTTTGCTGTGTGCAGTGTAACTCTGTGGAGGCTTTGCTGTACTTCAGTGATCGTGCTTTTACTAATGGAGCACCTGTATGCTGATCAACGCCTTCTACTTTTACCATGATCAACAGGAGGGGATAATGAACGGGCCTCATTCAAACACAATAGGGTGGTAGCTGAATAATGATATTTAATACAAACATGCAAGCTGGTCCTGCTGAGAACAGAATAGATCTGTTTTTATTTTTTCCCCCCTTTTTAAATACTTTGATACATTTAAAGTAGTACATGATTGGCACATGATTGTGAAGTAGAAGAAAAGGGCTTTTGTATTCAGTCACCTCTCTGACTCCACTGAATAAAATCGCCTGCAAATCAGCCAATTAAATACCCAATCCCCTTCAGGTATCCTGTAGTTCGCAAAGAGTTCAGCTGTGTGTCATCTAATCCAGCTGTTCTGTGCAGACCTCAGATGTTTATCAGAGAATAGTAGTTTGTAAAAATAAAATATATTTGAGACTGATGGACAGAGTAGATGGGCCAGGGATAAAATAAGTTGGATTATGAATCTACTTTTCCCACTCAGATATCCACAGCTCAGATGGGAGAATCTGTTAACATGAAAACGGTTAGTCAGCACTCCACAAATCTGGCATTAATGGCAGAGTGAAGAGGAAATATATATTTTGCTTTTAAGAATTGATTAAAAGTCTCATTTTTGTTTGCCACAAATAATTGGATGGAACACCTTAAGGTAGAAGAAGCTTCTCAAGTCGTAAAAGGTTTAATACTCTGGATATATTGGAAATATATCAACTGAGCGGATTGAGGCACAGATGTGGCAGGATAAGTGAAGCTTATCCAACCTGGAAGATGGTTGGGCTTAATGCAGAACAATCAAGGAATAAATCCTGTTAGAAGCTCCAAAATACTTGAAACCCATTTGTAGGTTGACTCAGTCCAACAACAGACTATACCCGTCGCAGCTTTGTGAACATATTGTCTTGATCTTCATGGATGATCACCACTTGTACAGTATGTATCTTTTTGTCCTGTGAAATAAGATGGCCAAAAAAACTGTCTTAAAATTTGTACAGCTGGTCAAAACAAACCTTACCTTTTTAGTTTTGAGCAAAGGCTAATTCTAAAGAGTGAAAGGGTCAGCGGGACTGAAGACAAATGTTTGCCACATCTTAGATTAGTGCTTGTAAATAAAGTTTAGAAACCATGACCCACTTTCCCTCTGATTTTCCATTATGCATTACATCTTGTTTTGTCTCATACATAAAATTCCACTAAAAAGAAATATAATTGTATCTCTTCATAGGCTTTTGGTTTTCTTTATGGTTTGATAACTGCACACTAACTTGTGACTTTTTGTTGTTTTGCAGGAAGCATCTACTCTAGTCCAGGCTTGTACAGCAAGACCATGACCCCAACCTACGACTCCAGGGATGGCAGCCCCCTGTCGCCAACCTCGGCGTGGTTTGGGGACAGCCCCCTGTCGGAGGGTAACCCCAGCATCCTTGCTGTCAGCCAGCCAATATCCTCACCCGACATCCTGGTCAAACTCTACAAACCCCAGTCTCTGCTGGACAAAGCGAAGATCAATCAAGGGTGAGACGATGACTTACTGGTTTAAGGAATCTAAAAGTCTGATTTTATAAAATGGTGCTTTGCTGAGTAAACACTTTTTAGAGCTGTGGAGCTTTTAATCATATTTTTACTCTATGAAAATCTTTTTTTCACAGGTGGTTGGATTCATCCCGGTCTCTCATGGAGCAGGATGTAAAGGAGAACGATGTGCTCCTGCTGAGGTTTAAATATCACAGCTTCTTTGACCTCAACCCAAAGGTTTGTCCCACAGTCAAGGAATAACAATTAAAAAGCTCTACTAAAGCACCATGCAATCTTTTAGGGAAATTAAATCATAATGATTAAAATGGTTGCGGTTTCCTTTTGGATTTTAATTGAGTTTAAAATCTAATCCCGTTGAATGATCAAATACTTTGATTATTACATCAAATCTTTGCATGCAACGTTCTAACAGGTGTCTGAGTGGATTTTCAGTTCAGCATGTGTTTGTACTGCTCCACAGTATGATGCCATCCGAGTCAACCAGCTCTATGAACAGGCCAAGTGGGCCATCCTGCTGGAGGAAATTGAGTGCACAGAGGAGGAAATGATGATGTTTGCTGCCCTGCAGGTAAAAACAGTACGAGTTTGTGGAAGAGCCTCTTCTTGTTTTGTTTTTTTGTTTGTTTTTTTTTTTTTTATTATGGTGTAAAGGACTTAAATGTGCAGGGTTTTGCAGTGCTTTTGTTTAGTTTTTGGTGTTTTTCACCTGATGACTAATCATTAGACTGGACTACAATCCTGCCATAGGGATAATGCCTGCAGTGTCTGTCTAAGGAGAGTGTGTTCACTCTCCTGTTTTCCTTGGTCTCTATGTGGCAATTTGTTCATTAACCAAACCTTTGAGGCCTTCAGAGAGAAGCTGAATTTACAGACAGCTGCTCTCAGTTTACTAATTAGCTTCTTTTAAAAAAATTATTGGCTTGGATTATTTATTGCATGAAAAGTGGAGGAAAGCATATGCACACCACACTTTAAGATTTTATGTGCAGAAATTAACCTCTCCATTTTTTGTAAGTTTGTCTCATAAAATCTAAATAAAATCCAGTCTTTGATTTGTGGGAAAAAAAAAAAGCAGATGGAGACTTTTGCAAAACAATCTACTTAAATGTGGCTGTTTAAATTTTTTATTCTGAGAATACGTTTCTTTGTGCTTGCTTGCCATCGTTTTTCTGCAGCCTCTCAGTAAGTTTGAACATCAATCAGTTATTCTTTTTTAGTTTTGTATTACAGTTGGTGAGTTTAGGCTTTTTAAAAATGCTGCTGGCCAAGTAATGGGGTTCTCCCTAGACCGGTCAGCGTTGAAAGGGGAGCAGTGGAAACGATATACAGATGTTAACCCCCTTTGCTTCCTCATGTTGCCACATGGTGCCCTCAGCTATTTCTGACCATCATAAACCGGGTGCCAAGACCTGAGGACGCCACTCTGTCCTCACTCTGAGGGTAATTATAGTGCGTTTTGGGCCACAGTACTCCACGCCTTGGCCCAGACCACCCACTCCAACAAGATACGTTTCCATAGACCTGCTGAGCATTCCTCTTGAAGCTCTAACTGTCTAAGGTGTGAACATGTGTTTTAGCAGATGGGTAACGAATGGCACCTGAATGGCGTCTTGTTGCTTTACCATCAGTTTTGTGTTGAGACTGGTGGAAGCTCTGTCACCTACGTTCCCATTCAGGTCTGCGGTTTCATTTGCGCATTATGAGCTCAATGGTTTTGGTTGAGATATCGCAGTTGATGGATATAAATAAGAACCAGTGATCATCCTAATCCAGGATTACATATTGATATTGCACAGAAATTTAAACTGACCTAGTTGACAAAGAAAATATTGAACTCTTTCTCCCTGTCCTGCCAGCTTCTGCCTGACATATTTCTCCCAAACAGCTCAGTGGCTTTCACTCTCTGGGCAGCTGTTCATTCACGTATCGGTGTGGGGGGGTTGGTGATGAGTTGACATGGAAAAATACCATTTGTCAACAAGCTGTTTTTAGTTTCTGTGACTCACTGCAGGGTTCTCTGTAACGAGGCTATCCTAGTGAACGGCTATTTCCATTGTTACGGGCGTGTTTCCTCCTCTCCCACATATATACCACAGTGAGCATGATTCAGTTTGATTTCCCTGACCGCATTGCTTATTATCCATTGCATCAGTTGTTCAGTCCGGCCCTTGTTTTGGAGCATTTTTTCATCAATAGCAGCAAATGCAGATACAAAATATGGTTTACACAAAATATTTTTCATCTTTTTGTGCCCTCTGGTCTTAACCATTTGTTTTTCAGCTTCTTTAATTTCACATAGATGTTTCTTTATTCCTGGATAGATTTATATAAAGGGATAAATGAGTTCTAAAAGTCATCTGAAGTGGAGTTTTTTCTTTTTTTTTTCACAGTACCACATCAACAAGCTGTCAATCATGTCTTCAGACAACCACATGAATAACAGCGAGAAGGAGGTGGATGAGGTGGATGCAGCGCTGTCGGATTTGGAGATTACTCTGGAAGGGGGGAAAACCTCCAATACTCTGGTATGAGAAAAACATGGCTGCTTTCTTTTTATTTCTGTTGTGTTTATGAACTAAAACAATAAGAGATTTTTTTTCCTCTCATTCTGAGACTTTGGATCATGTTTTTTGTTCAAAGTTTTGTACCCTTTTTTCAAGCCTTATTTGAACAAAACTGAACATGGGTCTAATAAAGTTGGAGAAAACATAAAAAGGGAAACAAACAGAAAAGATGCATTTGGAATCATGCACTAATGGTTGCTGTTGTGTAGTAACTTTCACTCTGATGCAGAGTGTGCAGGATACAGTAAGCATTACCTTATTTAGTCTTCATAAATTGTCAAGTTGCTGGCTGTAGTGATGCACATCAGAGTTCTTTTTTTAATTTCCACAGATATTGGTATAATCCAGTTTGAACCTTTCAGTCAGAATCACCGATGTCCGAAATGGACATATCTCCCCAAATACATGGGAAATGGTGTAATTTGAATTGTATATTACTGTTTTATAATTAATTTCCGTCAATATGGATGCAAAACTTGTAAACAAACTGATAGTTTAAAGGTGCAGTACTCTCAGATTAACAGTTAAATGGCAACAATAGATAACAACACATACAAAACTGAGACTGCTCTCTACAGCCTTCATACTTACATCTTCTAATATAAACATTTTGTCATAATTACAATGGAAAAATGAGAAATGTTGAAACATGCGCATTAGAGAAGAATGCTAAAAACTGGAGCAGAGATGGCATCTGCCTGATCGCTGCCAACCTCTAAGATTTCTTTTACAAGGGACATTTTCTATTTTGATTGAATCACTAACCCTTTAAAGCCTGATCCAAGAATAAAACAAAACAGAAAATTACTTTTTTTTTGGTTTGAACTCCTTATTTGCCCTTTTAACAAAATATGTAAAAAGAAAAAAAAAATACATTTTTGAAATTAATAATTTATAACTATGCAATAAGTCAAGAGTATTTTTTTATGTAGTCTTCTACTGGCTGTTATCAGGTATATCTGATTGTGTAAAATAGGATTTTGAGCAAAGTTTTTACCATTAAATTATGCAAAAGGTGTCGGATGCAAAACATTTCAGAAACCGTATGTATCAAATACGATACATTTGGCATTATAGGGTTAAGAGAAGGAAGAGTTTGCCACGAAGCACTTTTAAATCTCTTGATTAGATGGCATTTTAGCGCACATTACCTTCAGTGACGCAGAGACTTATTTGTCGGATTTGTTTTTCAGCTTTTCTTTCAGCTTTTCTTTCTGTATAGGTTGTTTTGTTTTGTTCTTGTGATTTTGGCATGGAATTAAAATCACCAAGTCTGGATATAAGACAGAAAAATAAATGATAAAAAAATATGTCTTTTTGTTTGCTTTAGAAGTGATACTAATTTAAAGGGGTGAGAAATTTGAGGTCAAACCCTTACATTTCAGTTACATTTGAAAGATATTTACAGCATTTGATGGCCTTACCCTAATGCCTTGGTTAAAATATTATTAGATAAAAATGCTAATGGAACATTTTTCCCTTTTCTCTCAGGGCGACATCACATCTATTCCAGAGCTAGCAGACTATGTCAAAGTTTTCAAGTAAGTCTATGTTAATGACGACATGAGTCCAACCTAAAACATGTTTTCGTTACTTGCATACACGATGTAAAAACTTTTATTAAATTGAATTGAAAAAGCTTCTTGGATGGGAAGTGAAACGTCTTTAAACTTGGAAACAAAGTCCAGTGGATTGTTTTTGATTTTCTTTTTTTGGAATACCTCTATTAAAGGTATAGAGGACTATTTTAATTTCCAGGTGTATCATATAAATAAGTGGCCATCCTAATTTTAAATCATTTTGGTAATACGTTTACGTAAGCCCGGCCTAATTTTTTCTCCTTGTCTTCGCATCCGCACTTTCAGGCGTATATGTGTGGTGAGCTACGGTTTCAGAAAATCATTGAAGCTCACCTTTCTCACCGCGGTTGTTTGAAAATAGCCGAGGGTCATAAGAGAAATAGTGTCAACAAAGTGTATGAGAAGAAAAGAAAGGCCTCAGAAGAGGCAGATCTACATCCCGGAATGCTTTGCGCAGAGAGCTCTCTTCACAAAGCATTATGGGATTTGCTGTCACAGCGGCCCACTGTTGCATACCGACAGCGTGGACTAATAACAAACTAATAACGGTTAGCAAAATGCAGTGATCGTCGGTCCGAACGGTCAGTTAACTGAGTTCATCATAAAGTCCTCTATGTAGTCCCCGCTCTTTATAGGCATTTAGGGGTTAGGTCAGATGTCCAGGCACAGTTAGCTTGTATAAGCTATGAGAAGAGCAACTTTTCAACAGAGTGTGCACAAGGAGAAATGGGCTAATGCATGCTTTCGAGCGCTTTTAATAGGGGTTCCCTCTCTGGAGCTTGTACAGGGTCGTTCATGTGCATTTTCTTAAAGTGGAGAGGGCGGGTCTTTTGAAAAATTCACAAAATCCTCCACCATACCTTTAAGTACAGAAACATCTCTAAGCGTTTAGGCTACATTGTTTTTCTTTTCTTTTCTTTTTTTTGACAGTACCCTTGCTCACTTTCCAGCATTGTAAGAGGTTGATGGTGTTCCAGTGCCAAAGACCATTTAGTGGGGAGGGAGCTTTTAGTTTCTCTTCAGGGAGATCAGTTGGTGGAAGCATATTTTTATCCTACTGTTTTTTGCTGAAAGGCAGTTACCTCCTGGGGAGCTTGTCTCATAAAACATGCAGTATGAAGTTGATAGGATTGGTGTGATATCAAAGGGTGTTTCCTCTGTAATGGCTTTCCACCACACTGTCTCCCTTACTCCTCACCTTGCTGAGTTTACTCCCCCAGAAGCTTTCTTTTTCTACCCTCTTTGTACTCCCTTATAATCTCCCCTCCCCCATTCCTCCTGTTAACAGACATTAAAGACTGAGCATTTTTCCAGCTGAACCCTAAAGTGTCCCTGTCTACTCTCATTTTCTAGACCCAAGAAGCTGACGCTGAAGGGCTATAAGCAGTACTGGTGCACGTTCAAGGACATCACCATTTCCTGCTACAAGAGCAAAGAGGAAGCACATGGGACGCCTGCTCATCAAATGAATCTAAGAGGTGCAGAAATACAGATAGACCAAAATGTGTTGCATGATTCTAACTTTGGAATGTAGAAGTTTATTTGTCTGCTTCAAGCTATGAAATAATATAAGGTTGTTAAAGAATGACTGCAACCTTTGGCCCTCTTTTCCTGTCTTCGTTTGATTGCTCAGGTTGTGAGGTAACGCCAGATGTGAACATTTCTGGTCAGAAATTCAACATCAAATTATTAATCCCTGTGGCGGATGGGATGAATGAGATCTGGCTTCGGTGTGACACGGTAAGGCTGGAGTCAGAGCAGTGGTTTTCCAGGATTTCTTCTCTCCCTGCTGCTGTTTTTTAATCCCCTAATTGGTGTTTTGTATCCAGGAGAAACAGTACGCTCACTGGATGGCTGCTTGTCGCTTGGCCTCCAAAGGAAAGACCATGGCTGACAGTTCATACAACTTAGAGGTCCAAAATATTCTCTCCTTCCTCAAGATGCAGCACATGAACCCTGACCCCCAGTTCATTGAACCGATCACCACCGATATTAACCCAGAGTGTCTGGTATCCCCGCGTTACCTTAAGAAATACAAGAACAAGCAGGTAAGCTGCCAAGGATCTACTGACAGCTTTAACCTATTTTTTCAAAAAACAATTAGAATATTTTTAATTATTATTTGTTAAACTGTTTAGTCAGTGTTTGGTAAAAACCTGTGTTTCCCTCCAAACAGTTTTACTCCCTTTTCCCTTTGTTTCCTGCTTTCCTCCATCTACTTAAACCTGCTGTAATGTGGTTCTTGCAACACCTTACTGCTTATTTCCATCCTTTCTACCAATTATTCTGTATGGAAATAAAAAAGCTGAAATAATGGATTTAATGAATTCATTTTTAAATGTACCAATAAATTAGCTAATGTGCTAATTCTCAGCTCTCAACTATTACGGGTAAATAACAGATTTTTTTTTTTCTCATGTCTTTTTTTTTTTAATCAGTGAATGCAGCATACTAAGCTGTAGTAGGTAACATGTTGATCTGATATTTCTAATGTCAGGGAAGGGTTTAAATTGATGGCATAGAAAGCACAAACAATAATAAAACTACTATCTGAAATTCTTTACATCAGCAGATAACAAGAAGGCTGAATACAGTCTGGATAAGTACTGTTAAAGCTTTAAACTTCTGCTACTGTTTAACTATAGCCCCATCTCAAACCTCCACTTAATCATTAAGATTATTTAAAGAGCTGTGATTCAACCGCTAAGCACTTTCCTAACATTGACCAGCTGCTTTTACGTCTTCTACCCTGGCTTCCACGCTCACCACAGTACAGACTGTCCTTGTCAAGATGTTCAGTGACATTCATGTTAATGCAGACTGTAAAAGAACCACAGTGCTGGAATTACTGGACCTTAGCACAGCATTCAGCACTATTGATCGCTATTTTATTAAAGCACCTAGAAAACTGGATTTACCTTTCTAGCACTGGACTGGTTTCTATCCCTTTTGAAGGACAGAGACCTTATATGTCAATAGATAACTTTATATAAAAAACATGTGGTGTTTCCCAAGGGTCCATCTTTGGGCCCCTACTAATCAAAATGTACATGCTCCCCCAATTCTCTATCTCAAGAAACATCGGTTACCTTAAAGCTACAGTGTGTAATAATTACAGGGATATACAGTCAGAAATGTAATATATTATACATAACTATGTTATTTATCATCATCTACGAGCTCAGCCTATTAACCTTAATATTTGTGTTGCCTTAGAATTCGTTATTTATAGTTACATAGGAGCGGGTCTCGCAGCCATGGAGGCAGACATCTTTGCGCTACGGCAGCGCAGAGCCAACAAACTAGCGATTGCGAGATCGCCAAAACATCACAACGATGTAGAAAAAATAACGGGTTTATTTATTATCTTAAGTCTACATGAAATCTATACCCTACTCAGACTAATGAAATACTATCTGTAAAATTATCTATGTAAACAAACCTCATCACTTGAGAAGGTAGGTGATGCGGACGACGTGGAAGACATTTTGTCCCGTAACGCTCGCCGTACTGTTGGGTAGGAGAAGCGGTGGGGTGGAGATGTTCATGTTGCTGCAGTCTGCAGTCTGACCGCTAGATGTCGCTAAAAGTTACACACTGTAGCTTTAAATATGCAGGCGACACACATCTCTACATTATGTCACCAGGTGACTATGAACCCGTTCAGGTTCTAGGTAAATGCATAGAAGAAATCAAACCATGGATGGGACAAAACCTTTCCTCAGCTGAATGAAAACAAAGCAGATATATATTCATTTTTGCACCAAAGTAAGAGTATTTAAAAGTCAGCTCATAGCTTCAGTAAATCCAGCTAGAAACCACCAATCAGGCTCTTAATCTGGGTTTAGTGATGGACTATCACCTGAAGAACTGCTAAAAAACTAAAGGAATAATATCTCAGCAGGAGCTTTAAAAAATAATCAATAAATTAATCTGGTAGAATACTTCACTGAAATGGTTTTTTCACAGGTCTAAGCCTTATGCTGCTGCCAGCGTCCTCACTAAACCAAGAAAGTGGAGCACATCATCCCAGTTCTGAAGTCAAACTCCTCCTAGTCTTTCAGAAAATCGACCTAAAAAAACTTCTACTTGTTTAACAAAATCCAAATTAAGATATCATTGTTTAGAGTGACCTTTGCCTGAACTATCTAGATATGACTGGTTAGGTTTTGAATCCAACTTTCCTTTCATTTTTTATCAATCATTTTACTTGACTTTTAATATAGTAAACTTATTTTATTTATTAGTAATTATTCACGTTCCATCTATGCTACTGTAATTTGTTTTTTCTCACATACAGCACTTTGATCCAAATCTGTTGCACAAAAATACATCAGTATTTTTAACACATTTTTCAAAGCTAACTTTGTTCCATTTTATTTTATTGAAGTTAATTTAAAAAGGTTAATCTTTTGTTCTCTTTGAGTCGGTGGCAGTGAAAGGGTTTAAACGTTTAATCTCTACCAGTCTTCTAATTCTCTTTCAAACATTGAGAAGATTCTAAACTTTGCTCAGCAGATTTGCATGCAAACAAATAGGCTGCTGTGTATACACTGCAGCAGCTGAATACACGGCTGCCATGGCACTGCTAGCAGAGGAAGGATGAGGAGGGCAACACCCCCCCCACACACACACACTCCCACACACACTGTACCTCAGTCACTCTGTCTGGATCTGAGCAGGAGGTAAGAATGTGGCCTGGAGCCAGTGGGCTGAGATGATGTCAGGAGGTGGCCGGTACAGTAAATTATGATACAGAATTGGTCTGAACCACAGCTGAGAATATCATGGTTATCTGGAAAGAAATGAGATGAAAATTTTAAGACAAGGAGATGTTCACAACACAATATAATTAGTTTGGTCTGATTTTATCTTTAGGGTTGGTATTGGTAGATGAAAGCTGCAAGTACAAGCTGGCATTTTGCTTGTTCCTAATATCCCGGTTCTCTACAGGAAGCTCAGACAAGGAAAAAAAAGCATTTTAGTTTATGATTACATTTTTTGAATGATGACATTTTTTCACGTCTTCAAGCAAAAGTGAAAAGTCTGTCTCCATTTTGTTATATTTCTACCCCATGCTTTCATATCAGGGTTGTTGGAGACTTCTCATTTATTTCCACTTGTGACTTTGTTTCCCATCGATATAAATAAGATGCAACGAAGATGTAAATTCTTATTAGCCACTGACCGCAAATATGGACAAGGACTAATATTGCATACAGTAAGGAGGATTATAAGAGCGTTAGAGTAACTTTCCTAAACTCCTGCAAACTCCATTTTGGGATCACATATTATTTTTCTAAATTTAAGGTAACACTTTTGATCCCACCATAGAAAAATAAAGTGGAGTTAACTAAACTCTCAGGGGAATTTTCATTAGAAACCTCCAGTTTGGTTTGATGGTTTCTCTGTAACGCCTGCTTCTCTCCAAAGGCCCTGGGAATCGTGTTTAATGGCGTCTTAATCAGATGGAGATGCAAGGAAAACTCTGGTCCCTATTAGTAACCAGAAAATGATGAGTCAGGGGGTAGACCTATGTCCGACAGGAAGTGGTATTAGCAATGTTATTCATGTTGTCACTGTGGTTAATTTATTTGATGCATCATTAGCCTGACTCCATCCTAGTCTGTCAGAGGTTTTTCTGTACCCTATGTACAGTGTGTCTGTGCCATGATGCTCACGCACATATACATGTGTAACCTCTTGTAGTGGGCGTGGGGGATCAGGAAATGAGCCTTACTTGGGAATGCTTCTTGGGAAAACTGTCTGGGGAAGAAGCTGTAAACAGGGTGCAGCCCCTCCCCATCCTGTTGTAAGATTTGTCCAGGCTGACTTCCGTGCTGTTGCTCCAAGCGGATGCACTCGCAGGGATTTTTGGATTACGTGGATTTTAGCAGTGTCTGGCCTGATTGGATATGTTTAAGCAGAAAGAAAACAGAGGAAGCATTGGAAGGAGCTCCTAAAGCTTGAAGACTAATAATCAGCTCCACTGGAGCTGGAACATGGTGCCATCTTGTGGAAGAAAGGAATAAGGAACTCTGATTTTTGCATTAATGGAAGCTGTGACGCAGCAAAAGACACAGTCAGCCTGAATATGCACACCCAGTTTCTATTTGATGTTTTACTTAACTTTTTTTAGGCTTTCCTTTTTTTAGATCACTAATGGAAGCATTTTTTCTTCGGTCTACTTTCCCTCTTTTGTTGCTCAGTCCTGCATGACATCTCAGTTCAACACTTTCATGCTCTTTCTTTGCAGTTAGGCCATAGTTTCCAGCATTATTATTATTATTTTTTTATATCTTTCTTCCTGACTCTAATCTTATTTGCCTGTTCTTTGTCCAAAACATTTTTTTTCTGTTCCCCTTTTTCCACATCACTGTCAAACTCCTGCATCTTCCCCTACCCACCTCCTCCCTTCAGCCAGGGTATATCAGGGATTTGGTAAGTGAAGTGTCCACTGGGTACCTTTTAGTTAGTCTGCATGTTTGTGGAAACCTTATGTTTTGTCTGGGTGGTCCTCTAACTATAGAGTGTAGATGGCATCATTCCTAATGCTTTCTGTTGGTAGTTTGTCTTCAATGTTTTTAAGAATTAATAAAGGATTCATATGGCTCCTTGCTTTGTGTTAAACCAGTGGTCTTAACATATTTAGAAAACTTAATGGATAAAAATGGAGGTCCGCTGCATGTTGTCATCCATTTAACACTCATAATAAAAAAAACAATGCCTCAGTGTATTTTGGTTTTAGCTTTACTGTTTTAGGTTGTATGTCTTAAATGCCTAGATAATGGTATCCCAGCGATAAGTGACTGACCTGATTAAATATGTTTTGTTCCTCTGTTTATTAACCTGTATGGAATGTATTGTCTAATATCCCTGCAGTTCAGCTGCACTGGAACTCTTGTATACCACCATCAAATTGGCTTCTAGTAAAAATTTTACATGTTCGAGTAATTAACCTTTTGTTTTTTGTTATATTCACATTTGAATGAATAAAAAAAAATTACTGGTCATTGGAATTTAGCTCATAAAATAATATAGATAAAAAGATAAGATATTCAATGGCCTGAAGAGAAAGTTAATTTAAAGAGTGTTTGTAGAAACTTTAAATTAGTCATTCATGACTTTTTTTTTTTCTCTGTGGAATTAATATAAACAGACACACTTTTCTTCTGTGGCTGGTGACTTAAATGAGGCCCCACGTTTATTTTGCCAACACGTTCAGTGAGCAGGACAGTAAGGGAGGTATAAGGTCACAACTGAAGCACAGACTTGCATCTAGATGACTTCTTTACAAAATCACTTTGAAAGTTTAGCTTCTCTAACTTCAGACAGATGCTTCGTACAGGGTTATGTTTTCACTGCTTCTGCTTATTTACCAACACATTGTGTTCTGGAGGTGTTTTAGACCTATTTAGAAATTGTTTTAACATGAATCGAGTGTTGATCTTAGTAAATGGTCTGGTATTTGAAGATATTATAATTTTGTCCCCAATGGTCTAACCGGAAGAACCATGACAAGGACTCTTGTTTTACATTTGTGTTTTTTTTCTTTGGCAGATTTCAGCCCGGATTCTTGAAGCCCACCAGAACGTTGCCCAGATGAGTCTAATCGAGGCCAAGATGCGCTTCATTCAGGCATGGCAATCCTTGCCAGAGTTTGGAATCACTCACTTCCTTGCAAAGTACATAAATCAGTCACCATATCCCATGTTTGAATCCTTTGTGGTATATCATTAGGTCAGTTGAGACGAGGTAAAGGTCTTAGTCTGTTTCTGCTCTGCAGGTTTCAGGGAGGAAAGAAAGAAGAGCTGATTGGAATCACCTATAATCGTCTGATCCGGATGGATGCCCACACTGGAGATGCCATCAAGACCTGGCGCTTTAGCAACATGAAGCAGTGGAATGTTAACTGGGAGATCAAGATGGTAGGAAGACCACATATATAAAATCTGTGATTTAATATTCTTCCTGTGCTGATACAAGCAGGCATTTTCTATATCTGTGCACCACCTGTGTAAAATCTTCCAGTCTATTGAATTGATCACACCCTGATCCACGCAACCATCCGTCCCAGCAACCACTGTGTTGTGGAATGCGTACACTTGTAGCCCAGCGTTGGTGAAATTTGTGGTCACAAATGGTGTTTTTGAGCGGTGCTATTCAGACTCAAAGTGCAGCCGTGACTGGTTCTAAAGGACGGCTGCATAGCAGACAGCTGCCCCCCTCTTCCTGGTACTGATTACCAGGACAGAATATTTTATTGGTACGTTGTATTGGACCGTACCAGCTTACTTTCACACTGGAGGTACTTATCCTGTTATGCTTATCTGGGACTGGGTTGCTAGGGCAGCAGACTCCCAAACTTCCTTCTCCCCAGAAACCTCCTCCAGCTGCTCTGGGCCAGTCCTAGTCCCTGCAGCATGTCCAAAGACGTCCCCTGGGCCTTCTTCACTGGTCCCCAAACCACCCCCCTCCCCTTGACTACGCCTAAAAGTCCTGGGACCTTACCTGGTAACAGGTCAGAGTTGATGCTCACTATGCGGACCACACTCCAGCTCTGCTTGTATGCTGCTCGTATGGCTCCTAGTGAAGGACCCCTGACTCTATACTCCTGATCCTCAAAACACCAACTACCTGGTGCCTCGCTGCCAAACCCCAGTCCTAGCTCCACATGAAGTGTGGACTTCACTGTACCTGGTGACATCACTTGACTCTTATTTTTTTTTTTTCTATTTTTATCATAAGGGCTTTTTTAAAACCTTCTTTGTCTAACCTGTCACCCAGAGCCTGTTTTCCTTGAGAGACCCCACATAGAACAGGTTCTGGGATAATTTACTCATGTTAACACATTCCAGTTTCCCAAACAGATGCTCAGTCCTATACCAAATGAATTTACTATGATTGTTGTGTCCTGTCCTGTTCATTCAGGTGACCGTTGAGTTTGCAGATGAACCCAGCCTGTCCTTCATCTGTGCAGAAGTGGACTGCAAGGTGGTTCACGAGTTCATCGGTGGCTACATCTTTCTGTCGACACGCGCCAAGGACCAGAATGAGTCGCTAGATGAGGAAATGTTCTATAAACTGACCAGCGGCTGGGTCTGAGGTGTCCCAGTTCAAAGGGGGTCGATGATTTTAGATCGGGGGAAATGGGTGAGGGTAGGAAGTCGAGCAGGCTTATGAGGTTATTTTATTTTATTATTTTTTTTTTTTTGTCTTTTCAACTGTTAAAAACTGTGCTGAATTAGCACATATTTTTGCCAAGACTGACACAATTATTGTTCTAATTTGTTTTTATATATATATTTGCATTAATGCTCACAGTCATTTCTTGCCTTATTAATGTTCTGGCTGGTACCATCCAGATGAAGGCGGAGTCTTAGTCTGAGAACCTTCTTCTGCTTTTGCTCTCATCTCTCCTTCTCTCAGAATTACGGCCACAGTTTTGTTTAGATTTAATCCCAAAGAATAACTTAAATAAGAGTTATTACTGATATTAAAGTGTGGAAAATTTTGGAGGGAAAGGTTTTCACACACTTATTTCTTTAATTACCAAAAATATAAAAAAAGGAATCAGAGCATATCTAACCATTAAAGCCTTATGATTTAATTTAGTTAAGTTTTAATGCCAAACTATCAAAATGAAAAAAATTGTTGGATTTGGTTAAATCAGTAATGAACTGTAATTTAAAAGATTTCCTTGCCCAAAAAAGTAGAATAGTGGTCAGATGGTAGAAGCTAAAACCTTTCCATATAAACTAATGTGTATTTATTTATAATAAAGGAAGGAGTCCATTAAATCTGATCAGCAGCACCAGCTTCTCTTTGCTTTTTGTGTTCACTTTTTTTTTTCTATAAATATCTTTTAACAACCGGATCTAAGCTCTTCTCCTCTATACATTGATCTTTATTGATAAGCTGTTATATTCTGCTTCATATTTCACGAAATCTGTCTCTCTTGCTGAGCCACCCTGTTGGTTATGTATTAACCTGACACAGAAACACCTTGTGAGCCTTCCTTTGCATTTAAAATACTGCTAATAGGAAGCATTTCCAAAAACAATACAGTTCAGTGCACTGTGATAAGCATCCTGTGGGTTTCACCCTCCTGGATGTTCCAGGTTAGGTCAACATGTCTTTTTCAGTTCCAGTATGCGCTAAAACACCACTTTGCCTATAATTTTTTAGCTGTAATAGAAAAAGATATGGCCGTCTGTAGCTGCTTTACAAGTTTGAACCAACTGGAAACTTGAAGTTACAGTTAAAGTGCATGCAGATACTACGCAACAGGAGGAACACTATCACAATCCCTGGAAGCACGTCCTACGTCAATGAAGTCTAGTTTCTCGCCGTATAGTATTATATCCTTAGCAATACACACCAGCAAAACATCACAGAATTTAAAGAATGAATATATGCAATTTTTGTTCTCTTCTCAGTATGAAGGATTGATAAATGAAGTATTATTGTTATTTTTTGTAACTAATGTAAAAACACAAACGTTTTATAGAATTGTACAGTGTTTTTCTTTTTTTGCTTTGGGATTTTGGAGGTTTTTGTTTTATTGTTTTCCATTCAGAAGCCATCAGTCGACGTGTGTAGCCTTCAGAAGAGTGTCTGGGTATATCGAGTTTTCACATGAAGATGCATATAAATTCAGATGAAGATAACCCTACTCAGAAACTTCAGGTTTGGTCTAGCCTTTTTTTTTTCTTATGTGCATCCAAACCTTATAAGTGTCTTTGTTCTTCTTTATTTTGGTCATTTATTTTTGTGTCTTGTCCTATTTGCAAAAAAAAGTCCAGTTATAGCCATATTTATTTGTTTCAACTGACAGCAATTATTTAGAAGCATTTCTGCCTTATATTCTAGCTTGTTCACAATTTTTAGACAACTTTTTTTTGTTGTTGTCACAACTGAACTGCACCATATAATATGGTGAAATGACCTTGAAGTTTGTGACCGTTTCACATAAAAGTAATATTAAAGAGGTGAGAAAGAACCAAGCATATATAATGCTTCTTTTCTTGAGTTTTTTTATTTGTTTTGTTTGCCTCCAGTGTCCAGAGCAGCTGTGCATGTCCTGCTGTTCTGTTTTCTGACTGTAAAAAAACATGCATTTATTTAAAAAAAAAATTATAAAGTAATTTTTATTTAAATTCTTTATTTGGCTCTATTTTTTGAACGGACAACATTTCTTAGATCTCATTTCCTGGCGTCACACCTTACAGTAATGGGCTGAACTATTGGACTGTAAAAAAGAACCAAAAAAAAAAAACTGAAAGATGAAAATAAAATGCTGCATTCAGTCATGGAAGAAACCACACTTACCAAACCCTACCTGTTATAGAATCATATTGGAAGGTGTCAGCCAGTCTCTGCTAACAAAATGCTCTAAGGTAGCTACAGTAGTGCACAGTTGTGCATTAATTCATGGCCACGACGAAAGCCTGAAGGGAGTTTTGGCTATAGAGCCATATACATTGTAACTGCCCATAGAAGGAGCATATACAACTATCTGCATTTTGGCACAAACACACTAATACCAATTGCTTAATGTGGAAAGGTTTGGGTGAAGATTTATGCCTGTTTTGAAGCAACAGAACCATGGAAAAATTAGTTGCTTGTGTTATTTATCCACTTTTTTTCAAGGCCCCAAATGTACCAGCAGGTTTTGAAAAAAAAGGTTTGGATCATGGAACGTTATAAAAATGTGTGAATCATGTGAAGAACTAAAAGACAAATGGAAAAAAATATTCCTGCTAAAGTCCTGCAAAGTCTTCAAATCTGCTATGACTTTTATTATATTCAGAGTTAAGCCTTTAAATGTACCAAAATGTTATTTTTCTTAGGTCATCAGCTGGATGTGTAGAGAATGATGGCTCATCATAAGTTGGCTTTTTCTCTGTGAACAGTTCGCCTGTGGACTGATGATTAGGCTGGTAGAGCAGAGTCCTGGGGTTGGAGGGGAGAGAAAATGAGCACCGGATGTTGGGTAAAGTTTTTTGCTTTGTCACTTCATGTAGTATGCTGCTTTGAGATTTTGTTTTCAATTATGATCTACTCCAGATTTTCATTCTATACATTGGGGACCACATGTTTTCATTTTCTTTGCTTTAGGATAATTTATAGGAAGTCATTTTCTGTCCTTGTTTGCACCAGTATTAACTTTCCACTAGATGGTAGCATTCCATCAACTTTTAGCATCATCTGGATCACATTCTACTTTATTTTGTGTTTGGAAAACACTGATCTCCTACTCTAGGCCAACCCTAAAGTAAAGGCTCTCCTGGAGGAGAAGAAAATGGATTTTAGTTCAGAAAAGGGAGGAGAAAACATTTACAAAAAAAACCCAACACCTGCAGCAGAAAACCTTGGTGGGGTTTAGATAAGCCTGAAAACAGTCTGTAGGAGATTTCCGGTGTAACTGTCATGATCTGAACCTGGTTAACGGGTTTGATCAGACATTCACCCCTCCCCAGACATGACTACGATGTTGCATGTTTTCTTATCTTCATCTTGATCTTATCTTTATCTTGATTGTCTGCTTTTCTTCACTAAACTCTACACCTCTTCACCATCAGCCTCAACTGCTTCAAAGGACTCCACCCCACCACCCCTTTCATCCACCAAAACAGAGTAAAGTCGTCTATCACTAATGGGGCAGCTTAACTTTGGAGCAGATTGTGAATAAGGACCTCATAAAACCAGCTAAAGACCAAATGATCTGCCAGTGAATGCAACATTTAACTGTAAAATACAGAAAATCTGCTAAAGTGGATAAGGTTGATTTAATATAAGCAACAATAATGGATTTTATTGCAATCATTTAAATGCAACACTAATGAAAACTTTTCAAGGTTCACAAAATTAAAGACTAAATCTTATTTTAGAGCCAGTAAAGGTATTTAAAGAAAAAAATCTTATTTTGTCTTCCCATTGTTTTTTTTTTTTTTTTTTTTTTATTATGTTTTTTTTTAAGTCAATTCCTGTATAAAAAAGCACTTTGAGATGGTTGAAGAAAATGCCAAATATGGTCAGAGTCATGGCTGGGTCCTCAGTGTCCAGACACTGTTTTAAACACATGAGAAACTGACTAATGTCTTTATGTAAATGGAGACCTTTTGAACAGCAATATGTTGACTAGAGTTTTTGCTGCAAACAGGAAAGAAGATGAGTTAGCACTTTTTAATCAAATAGAGACCTCTGTTGAATTAAGAGGCTAAAAAGGCGTACTTCCTCCTCATCCACTAAAAACAGTCCCTCAGATTAAACTTTGTCTGCCACAGGTCCATAAAACAATTGAAAATATGGTTTTAAGGGAGGAAATAACCCAAACATTGAGGTGATGAGGATGCAACAAAATTTATGGTAAATCCAAGACAGACAGATCTAAGCAAGCAAACAAACCACAAGGAAAATATGGTTCTTGTTTGCAAGAATAAAAGTTTTCAGGTGAAATGCTTTTTTTTAAACCATAGTTTTTTTTTCTTTTTGTGATTAATAAGGACATGTATCCCCCCAAGGATTAAGCAGATATAGAATAAAGATATTTCTTCTCTCAGAGCAAAACATCTACTGATGTCAACAGATTAATTAAATCAATAACTTCTCTTCATGCTCTCCTCATTGATGTTCAGTCATGTTAATTAGATCCAGTTCTGACTCGTTTTTCTCCCCCGATTTGTGAGCTGAATGATTTAAAGTGTTTATCTGACAGTTTATCAGTATTTTAATTCCCCTCCATTCTGTGTTTGATTAGTTAGATGTAACTTTTTTTAGAAGCAACCAACATAAATCTGTGGGGGAAACTAAACCGATATATTCAAATAGTTTTAGTTTTGTGGCATGTTAAATCATTACAAGTTACAAATAAAACAAATAAAGAAAAAACAGACTCCCTGGCTTGGGAATATAGGCTATTCTGGCGACAAATGTTGGGAACATCATACTGACGCATACATTTAAACATAAGGTAATGCTGAGCCCAATCAGAGCAATCACTAACCCCATCGGTGGCTCATGACATGCAGACTGGCCGTGCAAAAACAATACTTTTAAAATCCTCAACCAGGTGCTAGTTATGTGTTCAAACCACAGCTCGGGAATAATATCTCTCCTGAAGTTTTATTCCTCTTGATAAAATATCTCATGAATTTTTCCTTTAAAAACTAATTTTAGCAGTAGACATTGTGCCAGTAATTCACTTTTGGCCGGCCGTTGTTTTGTGCATAATGCCACAGTTTGGCAGTTTATGCATAATGATATCACTCAACATATGACTGTGTTCATTTTGTTTTTGACGGTGATAAATATATAACAACCATCACACAACCTTTAATTAATTCCATTGCAAAGATTTCTTAAATTATTCGAAAAAGCTTCAAATGGTGTAAGAATAAACCTTTTAATAAAGGATCTTTCTTTTCCAGAAAAAATCCTGTCCTTATATATGAAACTGTAAATTAAAACATTAATCCATTTATTCTTCTATGATTTGGAATTGTATAATTTTTTTAAATAAAATGGACACAGAATCAAAATAGTTAATTTTAAAGCATTTCATAATAAAACTGCTCTGTCTTTCTGCCTTTTCCTAAATCCTAAACGCTTCCTGTATGTAGTCCAGTTCCCAGAGGGGTTTGGCCTATTGTACTCCTAGTTTTAATGAGAGCTAAAGACATCTCACTAATGACTTCATCCATTGTCATGAGTTCCTGGGAACCCGGGGGAGGATGCTGGGTGGGTTTTGACTTTGATGTGGGACAAGAAATAAGGAATTTGAGGGGTGGACAGTTCCTGTGTACCTCAGGAAGTAAAAGACACTAAAGTTCCACAATAGTGTAGCTGCACCTGTTGCCATTAAAACAGCAGCTTCCAAAGGGAGCCTAATGTCCACGGTCTAGTTACAATTGAGGACTGCTTTGCCATCCTATGGTTCACAGCAGATTAACGTCACTTTTAATGTCACAGAGCGCCCTGTCTAGGAAAGTGGTTCTGGCATTCCCCGGCGGTGAACAGAGAGCTGTGGATAATGTCAGCCGCCACAGAGGATGTGCTGATGAATTGGCTTCTAAAGTCATTGCGGAAATTTCCTTGATGAAGTTCAAATTTCTCCCCTGACCTATTTGACCTTCTCCAAATAAATTAGTTTTCAGGATTTATTTATTTTTTTTTCCATATTTTTTCACCAACTCTTTAGGGTGACATAATTTTTAGACATGTTTTCCTGAGATAAATCAACTTGATGGCAAAGTGATAGATTCCAGAATATCTCACTAACTGCTTTGATCTACATACTGGGTCTTACAGAACCCATTATTATTATTATTATTATTATCATTGCCCAGCGTACACAGAGGATTATGATAGAAAGTAAATGGATCAGTGTAAAAAAACGGCAAAATATTAGACTTAGACAACTTTTATTGTCATTTTGCATGCACAGAGTGTAAACAAAATGAAATTTTCGTTTTGTACAGCTCTCATGACATTTCCATCATATGTAAACAGTGCGGGAGAAAAAAAAATGGTGCAAAAAATGCATTTATATGGTATTTATAGTGCAATCATGCAGTGTTTTGGTTTGGTGTTGTCAGTGTGATACAGAGTCTGTGACTTGATTTAGAGTTTTGTCAACAGTTCAGCTGTCTGATGGCTGTGGGGAAGAATTTGTTTCAGAATCTGCTGGACCTGCATCGGATACTTCGAAGCCTCTTCCCAGAGGGCAGCAGGGAGAACAGTCCATGGTGGGGGTGTGAGGGGACATGCAGCCCTGGGATGAAATGTCTTTTATCGAGGGAAGAGGAGCCCCCATGATCTTCTCTGCTGTTCTTACTAATCTTTCAACCTTCTTCCAGTCTGAGGCGGTGCAGCCTCCACACAGTGAGACAGCTGGTCAGAATGCACTCTATGGTGCTTCTGTAGAAGGTGGTGTGGATGGGTGGGGGCAGGTGGGTGCTGCTCATGCTCCACAAGAAGTATATGCACTTTTGTGCCCTTTTTGATCAG